CAATATTACTGAGATATTGTAATATTACTGTGTAATATTATTAGAACGTCCACTGGAAGTTCAAGAGAGGTCCAATGGAGGTCCAAGATGCGGACATTTGGATGTTGAGTGGAGGCTTTATGGATTTTCTTTGGACGTCTATTAAAGGTTCTGAATCTTCATAATGGAAGTCTAATGGACATCCAATGGAAGTTTTATTCTGTGTGGGTAGGAATACAAAAAAATTACTGGCATACTATTAAAGAACTACAATTTACTACTTTTTCAATAGCATATCAATAGTTTTTTCGTATTCTTGCAGTTTTTTTTCCATAAGGCAAGGAACATAAAGTTTTTTACCACGGAAAAAATTTGCTACATATAACTAAACATAATTTGCTGCGTTAGCCACTTTTTTGCTATAGAAGCAGGTTTTCTTGTTATCATAGCAAGAAAATAGGTTCCTGCAGAAGAAAATGCAGCTGGCACAGCGAATTACGTTTAATTGTCCACATGTAGCAGCAAACTATTTACATATATCCATATGCAGCAAATTCTTTTTTTCCATGCATATTGCAGATATTTATTTTGGAACACAGAATTTGCCATATAATTATGATTGAACTTCACCTGCTTATAACGCTCTCGTTTAATCGATAAAATCCTAAGAGTTTAAATTGCAGACTCATAATGAATTGCAGAATAAGGATAAATAAATAAATATAATAAACATAATAAAATATGTAAAGTGAGGACATTTATATTGTAACGAATGCGAATTAATGTTTCTGCTTCAATGTATAATTATTGCGCTGACGCGCACGCGCATATGCAGCACCAAATTATTATTTCTACTATCTTGTTATAAACTTCATTTCAACCGGGTTGCTTGCCAGTTATACAAGTAACCAGTTACTAGATAACATCAGATGTAGAAGATTCCACATTGTTCCACAGTGTTACTTATTTCGCGAAAATAAATATTGATATATTAGGTTGTCTGAAAACTTAAGATCAATTTTTTTTTAATGTAAAGACGACATTCCTACGTGTAGTATATTCTTTTATTTTCCTTATGTATACAGAGTGTCTGACGCAAGCTATATAAAACTATATGTGAAAGTAAAGCAACCAAAAAAACAACCAAGAAAAGAAACAACAAAAAAATCCTTGGCATTTTATAAACAATTACGTAAAATTTCGAGGTATTGATAAAAAAAATTAACGAACTAGCCTACGCAATGTTGTGAGACATGTTTCGTTAGCGCGAAATATCATAAAAATTATTCAAAATGCGACTATTTGTTTGCGACACGCTCACCATACATCGAAAAATAATTATTATCACGCTGTTCGCATCCTTACTCTACCTTGAGCTATCAGTCGATATCCGACTATGGTAAGAGACAGTAGCGTTTTAATTATTTTCGATAAGATCTTGCGCTTATAGAGCCCAGTCCAACAACGCGTGCTCAGATTCGTCAATTTTTTTCATTAATATCTCGAAATTTTACGTAGTTATTTGCGAAATGCTTTTCGTGTTCAGGTTAACACGTTCTACTTTTACACGTGTGCTTTTATGTACCTTGCGTCAAACACTGTATATATGCTGCATTTTTTTTTCTCAAAATCTGTTATACAGTCGACAGCAGTGTTAATTGTTTAGCGTTTTTCAGATTCTGCGTTAGAAATTTCTCAAGGACGGTAAGCGTTTAAGCTATAATGTTATCTATTTGTTTTATATAGCATTTTTATATACACGTACAGAAATTAGTATAATAATTAGTATAAGTGGTATAATAAATAATATAATAATTATAATATTAAAACCGTGATTTAATATTATAATAAATATTTAAAAAAAGTTATTATTATATTAAAAACCGTGATTTTGATCTGACTACACTGAGAACTGCGTTTTATAACTACGTAGTGGAGTAATAACCCGCACAACACAACGTCTAAAATCGAGACATAAGATGTCTTTAAAACGTCTTTAAGACATTTTACGTCTCAACTTTAAGCGTTGTGTTATGTGAGTATATATGAGAAAATCTTTTGTTCACGTGTTGTGACGTGGCAGCCTCGGAGGCGCCCGTCCCAAAGACAATCGTACCAATTTCGCAATTGTTTCTCGCGTATCGCGTTCCGAAAAAATTCTCGCGAATGCTACCGCGTATCGCGTTCCGGCATATTTTGTTTTGTGTTATCCATCGGGAGAACCATCGAAATCATTTTGTGCGAGCGGAGCAGATTTGAAAGTCCTCGCGTCCAAACTTTGTGTCCCTCGGCTTCCCTTGCCGGCCACCAGGACCAACGGAACCGAGGACATCGTAGGAAGGAGCAGCGACCGCCGGCTCATCGCTCTCGCTCAGGTGAATCGCTCTCACATTATTTAACGTTAGAAAGTTCTCGAGTTTCCCGATCGCTCTACATTAGCGAATATTATATCGACTAGAATATTCGATAACAAAAACACAACAACCGAAATAGCAGGTGATACCGCTCAGTTGTGTTTACTTTTTAGCGGGCGCTTGGCGGATACGGCAGGAGGACGAGACCGTCCCGATGATCCCAGCATGAAAAACTGAAGCGCCGATGGAGACCGCGAACCGATCCCCGACGGCAACAGTGCCTCGAGACAAGTAACGTTTCGAGACAAGCCTACCGAAAATTGTCGATTCCCGAGTGCCGAATATCTCTAGACGAGAAGGGAAGCGACGAAGGAGGACCGGCGAGGATACGCGGTCCTCAGAAAGCAGATGGATCAGCAGCCTTTCCCCGACCGTCGCTACGGACACACGATTATACTGCCGTGAGACAGCGATAGTGCGATTGAGACGGAGAGAGAGAGAGAGAGTGAGAAAGAGAGCGAAAGGGAGAGAAAGAGCGAGCGGGTGAACGAGAGAGGAATACCGCGGAGAGTGACCCGGAGCACCGTCACCGCCGCCGCCGAAGCCATCCATAAGGAAAGCCGTTGCAAATTGTAAGACCTCCCATCTGCTCAATCATTTCATGCCACTACCGTATGTTTTGTGTACCGTCGTCCCGTCGGCGGAACGGCCGCGTGTAAGAAGGAAACCGTCCTCGTATCTTAATTGTCGCGTTCTTGTTGCTGTCACAAGTATCGCGGCTCTTTTGTGAAAATTATCTCACGATTATTTTCGAGACGTGCGAGAGTCCCAAACCAATAAATTGGCGAGAGCCAATAAATTTTATACTATCGATCACGCGCAGAGTCTACTTCTTACTTCCTCCACCCATCCCGTCTCTGACTTAAAACAAACGGAGAGCTACTGGCCCCGACGGTTCCCGAGTCCCGCGAATTTGTGGAAATTAGTGCATTTTGCGTTTATTGAGGTGGTGCGGCCTTTTCCGCACCTGGCGTTCAACTTTCCGTCTTGTGTTGCGGCGTGATTCGGGGACAACGGCAATTTACCAACGCGGTTGACAAGCGACTATTTGCCGTCGCTCGCGAGGAAGCCTCGCGAAAAAGGCGTCGCAATGTATTGCTATTTTTTTTTTTTATTTTTTCTATTAGAACATCGAAATATAGTTAACATAAGGAAGTATAATGATAAAAAAGGCAGTTTTTTGTCTACCAAAATAAGCGTGAAAACATTATAATTTCTTGCTTACTAATTTTGACCAGCTAAATACAGTGGTAAATTCCTGTATCAATTAGATGACTGACTTCCGATATCTAAAATAGCGGATTCTATATGACGCATTTTAAAGTAAAAATTTGTTACTTCTTCTATAAATCAAATGAGGAGACATGAACTTTTTTTACCATTTTTTCACATGACTTTTAAAAATATCCTGCACTAGTTGTTTCTGGTTTGTGTATTTGCAGATAGCAATTTCCCCTCACAATATTGACAAGTTCGATACTACTTGTATCCCTGACGAAAATAAAAAGTTTCATAAGCGTTTGCGGGAGTTCATTGAGAGTTTAGAAATTGTCGGTAGAGCGGAAATTGCAACACTGTAGCGTTTGTGTATTGGGAGAGCGTTTGTTGAACGGAAGAAAAACGCTTGTCTTACGGAAAACGTTGGAAAAAGTGTTTTTCAAACGTTTTAAAAGTCTGATAGCAAACTAGCTGCACAAAGCTGTATCAGTGTTTATTGAGTGTGCTTTGAAAAGCGTTGCTTCAGTATTGAAGAACTTTCACAAAATATTATATACAGCATTTAATGAGTTATGAAAGCGTTTTGAAAGCTTTTAGAATCCAACAGCGTCTCTCGAGCTTACAGGATGTCAACATTCATACAAAATTTGAGTATTTAAACTCTCAGAAAATACTCATCGGACGGTTTATTAAGATTTTTATTTTCATCAAGGATATAGGGGATTATCTGGAGCAATACAACTTTAACATCAAAATTAAAGTTTCCCGGCATTTTTTCGAGTAATTCTAATAGCATAACTGTATTTAACTGGAAAAAATGAGTAAAGAATGGTAATGTTTTCACGTTTATCTTGATAGATAAAAACGGCCTTTTTAACATTGTTCTTTAAGTGAGACAGTCCATATTTTTGCTCAAAATTTGCTTATTATGTTGTTATCATTTATTGAGCGTATACAGGTGAATTATATCGCACTGGTTGCATTGTTATTTTACAGGTTACCAGCATAATAATGAGTGTACTTACGAGTGTAGTTTTGATAACCTTAATATGTATGGGTATAATTTATTTAATCCCGAAGTATCGGAAGCGGTTACGATTCGTTCAAATGGCAAATGCATTACCAGGTCCAAAAACGCAACCGATTATTGGAAACGCCTACTACCTTCTCCAAAGAAGTTTTGACGGTAATATTAACATTTATATACTGGTCAATATTACAAACGGATAATAAAAATGTTGCAAAAATAAAAGTAAAAATTAGTAAAATTATAAAGGAGTTCAAATTGGCATCCAAATCATTTATTGTAGTAAATTCAATTCACAATGAAGCTATCCTCACAGCACATTAATATTGCAATAAGGTTACAACAACCTTAAATTGTTGGATGGTAACATTACACGGAGGTTAATAAACTTGTCATTAATCTTGTAATAACATGAAAATGTTCGTCCATGCTCTTTCCATTAACATTACAGAAACCTTATACGGAATATTATATTAAAGTTAATATATAATATGTCTAGAATCTTTCAATATCTTTAATAAGAAATTCTTGATAAAGAAATATTATTTATATTCAGCTTAATCAATTTATATTGATTTTAAATGAAACTTAGCTCTTTTATTTAATTTTTCACTATCTTCACGCTATTTTAAATTTACTCACAAGTAACACTAGGGAAGTGATAATCACCGATTTTCCTGAAACTGCGCATACAAGTAGTTCTTCAAAAACTATTAGACACGTATTTTTTTGTTTTTCCCCAAAAACGAATTTTGGGGTAGAAATCGCCCCTACAAATTTTGATGGGGGGGGTAAAAGGTACTTTACAAACTGTTTATAGGATTCGTATGAAATTAGATATCTAGGGCTTTTTGGCCTCGCTGATTTCGAATTTGAAGTCAGTTTTTGAAAATTCAAAATGGCGGATCCAATATGGCGGACGGATTTTCATTTTTTTTAAGGATTTCTATGAAACATGATATCTAGGGGTTTTTGGCCTCGCTGATTACGAATCTAAAGTCAGTTTTTGATAATTCAAAATAGCGGATCCAATATGGCGGACGGATTTTAATTTTATTAAGGATTTCTATAAAACATGGTATGTAGGGGTTTTTGGCCTCGCTGATTACGAATCTGAAGTCAGTTTTTGAAAATTCAAAATAGCGGATCCAATATGGCGAACAGATTTTTAAACAGAACTAGATTTTTATGAAACTTGGAATTTTCGATCTTCTTCAGTCGCTGAATAAGAATCAGA